CTTGGGACCAAGCTATAGTGTGCATATAGAGAGGGTGTGCATTTATAGAGCGTGCATTTATAGAGGTGTTACTGTACCAGCATATTCTTTCTGATACATTGGGGCAAATATTACACTATCTGTAATTCTGTTTCATTTTTTATATGGTGCCTCCTATTGATGACCCTTTTTACATGACCATAAATATGTATTAGGACTAACTTTGCCTAAGCATCTTCCTTTACGTCTCTGGGCATATACTAAGGCTTTAGTATCAATATCGTCTTGCATTTTATAGACGCAGAAAAATATATGCAAATCCAGATTGCTAGTTCAGAAGTAGAATTAAACTTGGCCAGATATATTCGAGGTCAGACTATGTGATCAGAGGCTGGAAGTTCGAAGATAGAAATTGAAGTTAGCTGGTATTATTGCACGAGAAAAAATATGTAAATAATATTATGCGAAATGCCTTAACGGCTAAGTTTTCTTAGCTGAAATTGCCACATCCCGCTAAGAGTACTTAACCATATAATTCGATGATCTCGTCTATATCTGCTTTGGACGAATCATCTTTTTTATCTTCCTGTAACTTCGATAATGCTCGATAGTGTGAAATTTCTAGACCAACTATCCTATATCATGTATTTCACAAATCAATTAGTAAATTATATCCATTTTCCAGATTATATGATAACATGTATCTTTCTAAGAACATGGCTTTCGATCTGCGCTTACCAACCTTAGTAACTAATTTATACATTCCATCTTTACAGCCAACATCGATCTTAGAAATTTCTGCAAGTAATGTTGTTAGCTTTAAGCAGATGGATTTCTCTTGCTTATCTAATGCATTGAGGTAGGAAGACCAATAAACATCATTTCCCGAGTATTTTACTATTTTATTAGCATACGTGCTATTAAATAAATTTTTCGCATAAGTATTAGCCTCTTTCCACAGATGGGATATAATGGTATAACTTTTTTTCGGACCAGTATGTAGCTCTTTGATATATCCTCTAACCTACTTTTCAGCCGATTTCTGCGCTAAGGCATCTCTTATTTTTGATATCTCATCTTCATCTATTTCGTCTTCATCATCTTCGTCTTCGTCCAGGTCGTCGCCTTCATCTACCCCACTGTCATCTGCTTTATTATCACCCGCTTTATTACCATCTTTTAACTTTTTTAAGGCCTCCAGCACAATTTCAAATGATGGCTGGAAACTTTCATCATAGTTAATAAATCGTGCACAGAGGCTGACAACAGTTTTCAGATAGTAGCTGATATCAATCTTTTTACCTAATCGTCTCACTACTTCTGGATACTCCATTTTATCGCCTACCCTCTGTGATGAATCATTCTCAATTACAATATACTCAAAGCGTTCGCCTGGTTCTGGAATTTCATAAAGATAAGGCTCAGGTGTTAGGCCCTTTTTTATGAGCCGTTTTGCATCTGCTTCTTCACGAGTATGTCTATCCCGCATTCGTGACATAAAGCATTGGACAGACTTATTATCTTTATCAGGCTTCTACACAGCAGTTTTAACCATCCCAGTAAGGTCTATCTGTAAAATATCATTTATGATCTCTTTGAGTACATCCTTCACAATCTGATATAAGGTATGCGAATTATCCACCTTCATAGATTCATCTATGACCTTCTTATCTACCTCACGAAAGTGTTTAGACTGTCCTCGCTTTACAATCTCAACCCTTCGAATGAAAAGCTTATTATTAAAGTTGGGTTCTCTTCTATGTGAGATGCCATAGTATTTTTTCTTTCCAGTAAATACTACTGGAAATAAGACTTCCTCATATGCCATTTTGAGATAAGATGATCCATTATCATTTCTGAGAAAGTCATTAACTTCATTACGAAGTCTTTCTATTACTTCCATAGAGATATTCACCATTCTAGACCAATATTCCTCTTTCGAGATCCCATTACCATTGTCATATGCCTCATCACATTTCTGAAAGCATTCTTCTGGACAGACAAGGTATAAGGAATCTGTATCCCTGTATTTTACACCAAATCCTTTTCTTCTGATAAGATCGGCAATGAGCTTGATATTTCGCTGACCAGCTGATGTTACCTCACCTGCTAATGCTCGCAAGAAGAAAGGAGACCCGCTATTCCTGGCTTCACCGTAAAACGTATTCATATATACTTTTAAAGCGAGTGATTTTGCGTCTAGACAGGCGTCAATGAAGGAAACTGAAGAGTATTCAGATTTTAAAGCATCTGTAACGTTCTCGCCCCTTGCTTCTGCCAAACTAATTTCCTT